GGATTACAGGCGTACGCCAGCACACCTGGCTAAGTTTTGTATTTTTAGTAGAGACGAGGTTTCACCATGTTGGTCAGGGTGATCTTGATCTCATGACCTCGTGATCAGCCCGCCTCAGCCTCCCAAAGTGCTGGGGTTATAGGTATGAGCCAGCACCCGGCCTAGTTGATACAACCATGGCTCATCGCAACCTCTGCCTCCTGAGTTCAAGCTATTCTCCTGCCTCAGCTTCCAGAGTAGCTGGGATTACAGGCGCATGCCACTCTGCCCAGCTAATTTTTTTTTTTTTTTTTTTTTGGAGACGGAGTTTCGCTCTTGTTACCCAGGCTGGAGTGCAATGGCGCGATCTCGGCTCACCGCAACCTCCGCCTCCCGGGTTCAGGCAATTCTCCTGCCTCAGCCTCCTGAGTAGCGGGGATTACAGGCACGCACCACCATGCCCAGCTAATGTTTTGTAGTTTTAGTAAAGACGGGGTTTCACCATGTTGACCAGGATGGTCTCGATCTCTTGAGCTCGTGATCCACCCGCCTCGGCCTCCCAAAGTGCTGGGATTACAAGCGTGAGCCACCGCGCCCGGCCTTGCCCAGCTAATTTTTATGTTTTTAGTGGAGACGGGGTTTCATCGTGTTGGTCAGGCTTATCTTGAACTCCTGGCCTCATGATCCTTCTGCCTCAGCCTCCAAAGTGCTGGGATTACAGGTGTTCAGCCACCATGCCCAGCCTATATCTAAATTTTAATGTAAACTTAAAACTTTTTTCTATCAGTTTTTAAAAATTACATAAGGGTTTGAGGTAGATGGCTCTCATCAATTGTTAGTTCATTTAGTACTTACTGGAGCTAGAATGGGAAAAACTACTTTGGCCCTCTTAATTTTTGTTTCGAGATGGAGCCTAGCCCTGTTAACCAGGCTGGAGTGCAGTGGTATGATCTTGGCTCATTGTGACCTCCGCCTCTGGGGTTCAAGTGATTCTCGTCCCTCAGCCTCCTCAATGGCTTGGATTACAGGCATGGGCCACCACACCTGGCTAATTTTTTTTTTTTTTTTTTTTTTTTTTAGTAGAGACGCAGTTTCACCATGTTGGTCCAACTGGTCTCCAACTCCTGGCCTCAAAGCTTCCCAACTTATCCTCCCAAAGTGCAGGGATTACAGGCGTGAGCCACCTAGTTAGGCAAAACAGATTATTTCAATCTGTTCACATTTTAAAGACAAGAATTATTAAGTATGTTCATTTACCAGATGACAGCTTCATTAATAGGTTAACTTTTAGTGTTTTTCTACTCTTGTGTAGTATTGACATGTATTAAGTTTATTGAGACCCAGGAAATGACACTATGTTAACATCTCATGTCTTATGGTCAGAATATTCATTTAAGAAGCTACCTTTGAAAACTTGCCTTTATTAAGTGTCTTGTAATGTTTTTACTTTGGAGATTGTGGTAGACATTTTTGTCTTTATTTTTTATTATTTTTTGAGAGACTAAGTTTTATTCTGTCGCTCAGGCTGGAGTGCAATGGCACGCTGCAACCTCTGCCTCTTGAGTTCAAGCAACTCTAGTGCCACAGCCTCCTAAGTTGCTGGGATTGCAGGTGTATGCCACTACACCCATTAAAAGAATTTTTTTTAGTAGAGGTGGGGTTTCACCATGCTGGGCATGCTGGTCTCGAACTGCTGACCTCAAATGATCCACCTGTCTCAGCCTCCCCTCATGCTGGCATCACAGACCTGCTTCTGCGTCCAGCTGGCATGTTTTATCTTTTGGGGGAGTGGGGTGGAGTCTCACTCTGGCTCTATTGCCAAGGCTGGAATGCAGTGTGGCACAGTCTTGTGTCACTGCAGTCTCTGCCTCCCGGGTTCAAGCAGTTTCCTGCCTCAGCCTCCTGAGTAGCTGGGATTACGGGTGGGTGCCAGCACACCCAAGCTAGTTTTTTGTATTTTTAGTAGAAATCGGGTTTCACCATGTTGATCAGGGTGGTCTCAAACTCAACCTTATGAGCCACCGTGCCTGGCTGGTGTGTTTTGTCTTAATTTGTTCAGGTAATTGATGTCTCTAATGTTTTATTTCAAGTGGTAATTACTTTTAATCTTACGAAATTTTATACCAACACTTACAGTCCAGTCTGATTTTGGGTGCAGTTATAATTCTAGAGTTTAGTCCTCCTTACTCTGGTAAAAGACTTTATGCTTAATCAGCAAGGAATTATCACCTATTATTGACTTATGATTTATTGTATAGCTTTCTCATACTGAGAATTGCTACTTTTTAGCTGCTGCTTGAAGCAGTCATACTGAGCTTAATATGTATCCCTTTTATCTTCAAAGTTATTACACTTTTTTTTGAGACGGAGTTTCACTGTTGTTACCCAGGCTGGAGTGCAATGGCGCGATCTCGGCTCACCGCAACCTCCGCCTCCTCGGTTCAGGCAATTCTCCTGCCCCAGCCTCCTGAGTCGCTGGGATTACAGGCACGCGCCACCATGCCCAGCTAATTTTTTGTAGTTTTAGTAGAGACGGGGTTTCACCATGTTGACCAGGATGGTCTCGATCTCTTGACCTCGTGATCCACCCGCCTCGGCCTCCCAAAGTGCTGGGATTACAGGCTTGAGCCACCGCGCCCGGCCTACACTTTTTTTTTTTTTTTTATACTGTTTTCACAGTCATCCTCTTCAACATTTTTTGAAGCAAGGACTGTTTCCTCAGATGTGAGAGAGAGTCCATTTCTGCCTGAGCAGCATTTTGTATAACTAAAAGCCCTTCAATCCTACCCGCTGAAATATTTTGAAAATATTTTTCCTCAGAAAAGTAAATAATTTGACTCCTAACTGTTAATGGTTCTCTTATAGATTTAAAACAAAACCATATTACTTGCTTCATTTTGGTTATGATCAGTTGAAATAATATATATTAAAAGGAAATTCCATTGACAGTATGGAACTACCTAGCTAGCTGGCTCGTTGGTTTAGATATGGGTGCCAGTGAGCGTTAGTGGCTTAGGCATTACATTAGGTATTTATATCCAAGTGGACTGGGGCTTAAGCTCAGTTTAATGCTCATGGATATCAATAAATCATTTTGATTTACCTACAGAAATTGTCTTTATGTAGTTTGGTTTTGTGCAAGCGTTATCTTGCACAAAAGATGTGGTTTCTAAACACAGATAGTTTATAGTTTCTGTATCATTGTACTTTGAAGATTTTGGTCAAAAAGACCAAAAGCTTTATGTCAAAATGTGAAGGTAGTAGTGATAATAAAAAGTTACTCAGTATCTTTTTCTTTGTGTTTATTTCCATGAATGGATTAAACTAACAGATTAACTGTATAGTTAACACTTAATCTTTTTTGAGACCGTGTTGCTCTTTCCCCAGGTTCCAGTGCTGTGGTGCAGTCATAGCGACCAATCTTTCCACCTCCGCTTTCCTTGCCTCCCTACTTAGGAAAATGTTACTGTTCATAGGCTCTCCCAAGAGGAGATTAAGTATTACTTTGTTAAAATAGTATGGAAACACTTCAGGTTGATAGGGGAGATAATTAGCAACGAGATGTTGTAAATGTTTTCACTACAGGAAGATTGGAGACATTATATAACTCCAAAAACTCACCACCATTGTATGTAGATAAATAAGCGGGAGAATCATAATTTTTTTTTTTTTTTTTTTTTTTGAGACGGAGTTTCGCTCTTGTTACCCAGG